ACCCCAAAACGCCGAGGTCATTATTAGGGATTTCTCATTATGCGATCAATCATTCTCAGGGATCGCGAAGCTAATTTCTTGCGTCAATTAATATTGCGATAGCGGCCATCGACGGAGAAAACGTCGACGGCATTCCTTTTCTGCCCTCCGACCGCGTCGTTCCTCATTTTCGTATCATTTAACATTCAATGGAACGTCTTGCTTAATGTTGCAATTATACTTGCTCTTCGCGGAGCGATCGTCAAGAAACTGCCAAATAACTGTGAAGCGATATATCACAGTACATGCTATTTCTTTGCTTTATAAGACAGCTATTATTAATTTAAATGTTGTAACGATATTACTGACTGTTGTCAAATTCAATATTTTTTTAAACTTTGTACTTCAACATGAAAGAGAGTAGCTCTGAACATTTAATTATATTTATTTTAAGTAAATTAACATATTACATATTATATAAACATTATAACAAACTAAAATTGGAAATGGACGTGTTGTCGGTGAATGTAGTTATTGTTGCAAGATGATAACTAATAAAATTATTACGTCTCGGGAACAAATGTCGGATGTTGTTGTTTGGATGATTATATTTTTAGTTTATGTGTTTATCCATGTATAAATAATGCTTGTACAGGAGAGAGAATTTATGCAATTATATGCAATTTTTAAATTAAAACAAGCGCTACCTGATTAAAATGAGACCAAGGCCAAATCCATAATTTAGACTGAAGCAGTGTGTGCGATTGGGACAATAAAAATTGCAGGCAAGATCGCGGAGGTTGATTTCAGAGAAAGCTTTCCCGATGCCTCGAGGTGGTATGAAGAGCGAGAGTTAAGATAGAAAACAAACCGATGGATTTATACCTCGGACCATGAGGCATCATCATTTTCCCTCGATGGATATATGGGACTGTATACGCGCTTCTCCACGCATCTCTCACTTACTCTCTCTTTCTCATCCCTCCTCTCTCTCTCTCTCTATTTCTTCCCTCGCCAATATTTGCTCTCGTACGCAACGCCTTGAGTTCCGTATTTACGAACAAATACGCATATACAGATATATAGACATGTCCTCCATGTTTGCCTTCTTATATCTGCCTGTATCTTGCACTGGTCGTCCCTAAAAGCTACCGTCGAACGCCCCCCGAAATCAGATCAGTAACCCCTTTGGCAAACTTCAACATTGACGAGTTCTCTGTCAAGACATCTCGCTATTGCAGTAACTACATCGTATTGCTGAAGCAAATATTTTCATTCTTTTGATAATTGTAGTTCAGAAAATAATAATTAAACAGAATTAAAAAAACAGAAAAATTTATGCTCTCTCTTGTCGAATTAGTGAAAATATAATTATTGGTAATACAAGTAACAAGAGTTTATAATAGATATTTAAAAAAACATTAGAGATAGTTTTGTATCTTGAAAATTATTTTAATTTTAATAAGCATTGTATATGTATGTTTAATGTATGATTAAATGGCAGACTACAGGGAACTAGTCAAGTTTCCTATAAATGCATTTATTTTGTCAAGCAATGTTTTTTGAATATTGAATGTTGAAAGAACGCAGCATATTTATTATTCATTTCCTTAACAGCGAATTCTCTGATAGTACACCCTGGTGATCCTACTCCTGTGAGAAGTGTTCGGAAAGTCCGGGAGCGTCTCTGAGGAAAGGGGAGCTGAGAGGTGGTCGAGGGGAGTAGGGAGCGACCGAACTTTGGACTTTGAACTTTGCCGCTCGAGTGACCTCGCGGCCGTTTTATTTCACTTTCGGCCATTAACATACTTCGCTCCGGGATTTTTCCTACTTCCGTGCGCGAAGTATTAGTGCCTGCATAATTACCGTTTCATCGTCTTGCGGTTTACTTTTTTCTACCAATTGAGTGAAAAGTAAAAATACAGTTTTAAATTCCTCGGTTTTAAGATGAAGCATTTAGTTCTTTTTGTTGATTTGTAAGATTATTGAAGAAAGATATTATTCTATTTGTTTACCATATGTGTATAGTAAAGCCATGATTTTGACAGTACAGTAATTATTTATACGTTATGAGGGAAACAGATGCCGATTTGGATTGTCACATAGATTTGTCCTCGAACAATGATTTATCAATAACAATTATATATGTCAGATAAGTACTTGTCTCATATTTTTCACTTGAAGTGGATCCCTTCTGGAAAGCCGTTGTTTCGTTTCGTCTACAATTTTGAGAGTACCGTTTATTGTTCGCGATAGCTCGGAAACAGCAACGGAGTACAAAAAGACGAAGCGAGAATCGGTACCCCGAAGAAAGGACGGTGGTCACGCGCGCGACGAAGAGAAAGAGCAAAAAGAGGAGGCAGCCAGCGCGGCGAGTAGGAAAGCTCTCTTTTGCCCTGGACACGACGGGGAAGAGGGCTTTTTCCTCCTGGGCACGGATCCATGTATGGACCCCACGACCACCTACGAGACGACGCCAGCGTCGTCCTCCTCGCCGGCAAAAAGTAACACGAAAGTAAGCCTATCGTGGGAGGCGTGGAACGCGGAGCTTTTCCCTGTATATCTCGATGAGTTCCCGAGAGCTTTCATGGAAGTGGGGGCCACGCTTGCGCGGACGCTTCCGGCGAGGAGGGACGACGAGGCCGGAGGAAGCGAAAGAGGGACGGAAAAGCTCTCTAGGATTTCGAGGGTAGGACGCGCGCGCGGGGAGGGATGAAAACATCGCCGGGGTAGGACGTTCCAGCACTCCTCTTCGAGGCTTGCGATCGCGAGGATGTTTCCTATGATCGTCGTTTTTGCAGTCTTAATTTTTTAAGAGATTATCGATATGAAAATGGCACACATTACTTCGTTATGCGTCGAATAATCAGCTTTCGCTTCTTTTAATATTTTACGTTTATAGAAATAATATCTTATGAAAAATTATAGTAATATGACTACAATTTTTTTAATATAATTTCTGTTTAAAGCGATGGAAAATTATATTTATTATCTGTAGTGATTAATCATTTTATTTTCTAGATTTTTATAATATTATTTTGTTAATTTACAATCTTATGTAGAATTAATTAATTGTAGGATGATTTTGCATTCATTATTACTTTCCATTTCCCTTTAATTTGTCAGTTAATGCGGCTTCAAGAGTATTAATAAATTCTATTAAGCGACGATATCAATACAATCGTATTGATATCGTCTTGTAAGGACAGTTGCAAGTTTAAATCATTTAGGAAACTTCGACCAAAGTCGACCGGTCTTGGTGCGTCAAAGTAAATATCGCAATTGTTCATTAAAGCATCAAATTACCGTGCACTGGATACGAATTATCCGTCAACATTATCATCACGCTTATCGTGGCGAATGATTTATGGAAATTGATTGCAATTAAACAAGCTGCGCGAGCGTCGCCGGAACGACATAAGATGTTGTCAAGGGATGAAAGGGGATTGATGCGAATCAAGGAATTTATCGAGCAGCTTTAAGCATTTGTCTTTTATTCACAATTCTTTTCAGAATATTGTGATGCATAATGTGTTTTAATAAAATATAATAAATTTTATAAGTCGAACTGTCATCACTGTCATCTTAGCGAAGCGTGTGTTATGTTTGGAATCTATGCATTAATAAAAAGCGTATGCGAATTCTCATGCTAATTACAAAGCTTCGGACTTTGGTAAATAAATAGAAAGAGAACACGCGATGATGGAAAATCATTTATTCATCCCGATAACGTGCGTTTAATTTAAGTGACTATTATCGAGTTTTTCACTGGTTTAGTTTTTTAATTATTCACATGAATATGGATCTGTATATGTCTGGCAGTCCTTATACCGACGTACGTGCTCGTGTACACTAGTCGCGGCAAAACGCGTGGAAAACACGTGTAAAACGCGCGGCGAATATCGACAAACGTTATCGCGCGTAGTTCTAACGTTGATCTTTCACGTCTGGTAAGACAAGAGATATGAATGCATGAATGCTTCGGTGTCTTGGAACTGGAGCGACCAGTATCTTCCTGCGGCTTGAACGTAAAGGAAGTGTCATACATTCACATGTACTGGACATTTGTTTTACCTCACGAACATTGCGGAATGACACGCGAAACGACATTAATTGTTTCAGCCGCAAGGCATTGATACATTATTTTCATTTTACGGGAGACAGATCTTTTTTATTTTCGTTCGTACAACGTGCTCTATCTTACCGTCGCGTTTAAGGACGTTTGCCTTTAGCTGTGCTCGTTTCCTCATATTATTCGGCGTGAATTTGAGAGTAAATTTTCGATTTGCTCCACCCCGTCTCTCCGCATCTGGCCGACGCTCCGTCCACGGACAACTTTGGAAGGAAGCTGGAAGGAGTAAAAGTTGCCGACGGTTGGCAGAAAGAAAGATAGAGAAGCGAAGCGAGAAGAACTACTTCATTGGTGGAACTTAATTCACTTAATAGATTCTAAATGGAGTAACTCCGATCTGGCAAGACTCGGCCGTTTCTTAAGCGTCGGAATAAAAAGTTCTTGTCCCGGTGAGAACGGAGACAGCGGACGCACTTTAAAGACAGGCTGCGGATCGCTAAAGTGAAAGTAATCAAGAAAAACAATGTGAAGAAGTGTCAAAAAATAATAATCAACACAATCATCATAATAATAATAATACAATAGTAATCGACAGTATGGCTTTGTTTAATTTCTGAATACGAATATATTCGTATGATATTTTAACTTACGTTTCAAATCGTAAATAATTAGATTAGATCGTATCGATATCTCGTATTGTTAGAACGAAATGAACTAGTAAAAGAATGAAAATTTGATTAAAACAGATTTAAATTTTATCGGTTATGCGATCCATATCGTCCATAAAGCTCTTCATTGAAACCACATTTATCGGCGGTACTTGACATTTATATGAAATACCACTAACCACAGCTGTCCAACCCTTCGAAAAGAAAAAAGGGAAAAAAGGGAAGGAAAAAAATGAGCTTTCATGTGGATGCGCGAGGTATGTTAAAAAAGTAAGACGATACAGATTGAACGTTATATTACATAATTCTCGCCGCCAGCAGACCGATGAGGTTTGTCCGGCGTTTGCTTTTGATGCTTTTGAGCCCGCTGAAGTGGTGGCCCGTGGTATTGGTGCAGGTTCGAGGGAGCCAGCCAAAGAGAAACGCATCGGTCTCCGGTAGCTAATTTATGACTTCGGAGGTGAATTTTGTGCAGGAAACACATCAAAGTTCAGTAGCGGTCAATGCAGCTCACGCGTGTACAGTGAGAGAAGAGGATGGTATGTCTGCGTGAGAGAAAGAGAGACAAGTTAAAAGATGAGGGAGAGGGAGAGAGAGAGAGAGAGAGAAGAAGAGAGAGAGAGAGAGAGAGAGAGAAGAGAGAGAGAGAGAGAGAGAGAGAGAGAGAGAGAGAGAGAGAGAAAAAAAAAAAGAGAGAGAGAAAGAGAGAGAGAGAGAGCGAGCGTGGAGCTTCACGGACGGTAAAGCAACCACGGGCCGCGCTCTAACTACGTTAAAAGTTTTAATATTAGTTTAGTCGACGGCCACGGTAGATTGAGACGTAATTCCAGGTAATACCACGGTTCTACGAGCTACTTCCAGCTAATACCGAACGAAACGCGTTCTACAAAGGACCCTTCAGCCCCCGCACTCCTTAATCTGCATTAAACTCGACGTTCGGTAGCTCGCCGCCTACCCGTCGGCGGCGTACGAGCCATCATCCATACGATCATATGGCATCTTCAGTTTTTACGCGAGAAACCGTCGACTTCTCCCTTTGGCCTCTCGATTGGCGCAATCCCGCGACTTGGTCGCAGCGATTTCAATGATACTACCCAAAGACACACAGCTGGTAGCCAGTCCAGCTGAGATATTCCGGGTTGTATTCCTTTTGATCATTTAAAGCTTTGCATCGAACTTCGTGGATATATTTGTTAGTATAAATCTTAGTATTTTCTCTGAAAGTGATTTCATGAATTGCGAAAGATTCCCGAATAAAAAATAAAGATATACCTCGACTCTTATATTTGTGAAATACAGAAAGAATAATGTTTATGTTTATATAATTTGTACATATCTCACACGCTTCGCCGAATACGTCTAGTATTATTGTCTGCTATTTCTACATTTTTATACGTATTCATAGAGCAATGTATTCATCGAAGAACGTCATAATTTCACGATTACATTGTCGAGCGCTAAGAAAACTTTGTGCTCTCTGATGATCTGTTAATTGCAGACCGCTTTCACACGCTAAAACACTGTTTTTCCCGGCAAATTTATTTCGCGAGATAAAGAAACTTTGCATATGTAAGCTTTCAATGCAGTCTCACTAATTATAAACTACAATGCTGATAGCGCCTCGTCTTAAAAAATAATTTATAATTATCGCCAATGTAGCTACAAATGTGGCGCACTAAACATTATTCTTTCTGTATTTCACAAATATAAGGTTCGAGATATATTTTTATTTTTTATTCGGGAATCTCTCGCAATTCATGAAATCACTTTCAGAGAAAATTATTTGTTTTAGCTATAGAGATTCTTAATTCATCTTCTAGTTTTCGTCAAAAAATTCATTTTTTGTAAATTGTCATTTAACTGTGACTTTTCTATCAGCAACTAATATGAAATACATATGACACTATGAACGATATAGTAAATGTATTCTGAGCTATACGAATATACGAGATCTTGGATATAGATTATGATATTCTTGTTATTTCATCCTGAGCCTCTCCATATTATCATCTAAAAATTGTGACGCGTTCACCATTACCAGGTAACCATCGTGATTTCTCCTAAGATCCTGCGCCGGCTGCTGCAGTTTACGTGCACTTCGAGCAGAGGTTTACCCTCGTCGCCGGTAATTGAGCGAGGCGAAGGGTCGCGCTTCCGAGCTCTCGTAATTTCTTGTCACACGACGGACGTTTCGGAGTGAAGCGCGGTAAGGCGCGCAGGGCGTACGAGCGAGGGAATAGGAAAAAATGCACCTGCGACGGGTAATAATTTGTGCCGTCCAAGCTGCGGCGGCGGACTTGAGGAAGGCAAGGGACGAAGGAGGTAGCAGAGGGTGAGAGCGAAAGGGGAGTTGAGGAGACCGGGGAAGAGGATGGAAAAGGAAATAACTCGGAGGTGGACCACGCGTTTGCTTGGAAGCTCGTCTCCGTACTAGCAAAATCGTACTACGCCCTATCTTTCTCCCCCTGCGCGCCATCCCTCTCTCTTTCTCTCTTCTGGGTCTCTCCTCTCTTCCGTTCTCGGTCGCTCTC